GAAGGCATTTATTTCTATTATTTTGATGTTCAGTTACAAAAAATTAAGTTCGTTTCTACTTATTTCCTCTTTCTATGCTTTTTAAATATTTTAAAGACAAAATTATAGTAAATTTTTAATCTTAATGCGAGACGTTTAAACAGTAAGGAACAATACATTACTGTGTGGATATTTCCACGCCATTCCTTAGTCTTCTGTCAAATGAAGGGATAACAAAGAAAAAAATCAAACACAAAACATAATAGGCCTCCGTTTTAACTCATCTTTTAAAGGAGCTCAGTCACGGTATTTTGAGTTATTTTGGCCACAAGCAAAGCTGTCTTTAAATTGAAGGAAACCTGAAAATAATAATTTACTAAGATAGAAAAACACTAAAGAGATGATAATAAACCATAAGGAAACATGGATGGTGAAGGATGGAGACGAACTTGAAAAATTTAGGCTAAAATTTTCAAGATGCGCAAACCATGACGTAACTCCTTTAATGCACTATTTATTTAAACACAAACGGAAAAAAATTACTTATATAGAAGATAATACACGACGGCCGGTAGATCTGCACCGTGAAAAAGCGGGAAATGACGTCATCAATATCTTCACTAGTGAGGTTGTGGAAAGTACGCCACCTAGGTCCCGGATGTAGTTTCGTCTGAATTTTATGAGTGGTGTATTTTCGAGTGAAACACTCGTGTCCTAATGAAAAGTCGTTTTCTTTTTAAGACTCGTGTCTAAATAATAAAGTGCCATATTTATCAAGTTAAGTAGAATTATGACCTCCTTCATCCCTTGAACGGACATTTGCGTGAAGCAAACTNCGCATTTCTGCCGCACTTAATTGAATTGAATTCGACACGGCAGAAATGCGACGTATGAACTGGGCCTAACACGGATTGCAAACGACGAACTTGAGAAATTTGGGCTAAAATTTTCAAGACGCGCAAACCATGACGTAGCTCCTTTAATGCATTATTTACTTAAACATAAACGGAAAAAATTTCTCTTGATAGAAGACAGTACACAACGGCCAGAAGATCTGCACAAACAACCGTGAAAAAGCGGGAAATGACGCCATCAATATCTTCACTAGTGAGGTTATGGAAAGTACGCCACCTAAGTCCCGGATGTAGTTTCGTCTGAATTTTATGAGTGGTGTATTTTCGAGTGAAACACTCGTGTCTTAATGAAAAGTCGTTTTCTTTTTAAGACTCGTGTCTAAATAATAAAGTGCCATATTTATCAAGTTAAGTAGAATTATGATCTCCTTCATTCCTTGAACGGACATTTGCGTGAAGCAAACTGCATGTTAAAGCCGCCTGGTCAAAAGAGTTTGCTCAGCGTTTAAGAGGGCCGTGGGTTAAACTAGGTTTAAAACCTGAGAGGTACAATAGACTTACAATAAACTGACTCGCTCATATCTCGGGCTGATTAAAACCAAAACAGCTGCGTTTAAGCCACAACTCAGCTATATACCGCCCCCTTTGAACCAGCTCTTATTAGGAATTGGTTTGAATAAGACTTGCCAAACTGGCGAATGAAGACCAGGGTTAAAGAATTTGAAGGTAAAAACTTTAAGAATGCAACTGAGTTTGGAAGAGATTACCAACTATAGAAAAGCTAACGAGTAACAACAACAAAACGTAAAAAGGCAGAATTCCTCCGCTTTGAATTAGCACGGTGCTAAATGAATCGCCTTTCTTTTTCGGCGCAATCGATTGAAAATGTGAAATACTCTCG